GTTTCTATGGAGTGACTCAGAATCTCAGAATTGCTAAATGGACATCGCTGTAACTTCAGCACTTTCGTCCAATGGCTAAGCATGTAGAAAAATTAGTTGCATGCAGCCTTAACTAATTTCAATAATCCCCAATAAGGATCCCTCTTCACTTAAATACTCACCGAGACTTGATATCGTACATCACCGGTAAGAATCTCTTCACCCCCTATGACACATGGCACCACCTCACAGGTTGAGCTTAATTTTTCAAGTGCCTAAAAATAAAGATATGTTTTATAGTATATATGCACAATTTGAATAATATGTACAATTTGAAACATTGCGTTTGTAAACAGCAAATACTATGTTTTATTGAAATGATTTTCAGAGTAACGGAGAGGGTGTTTAATGCTACATATTTTGTGCTTATTTACATCTATATCCCATATGTCTTTAAGCTATTCATCACCTTCCTTGCAACATCTTGTTTTCCTTGCTTAATATGTTTTTTACAATGCCTTAGCCTGTTCGTTCTGTTTCGTCTGTGCTTGTCTGTTCTTACTTATTTCATTTTTATTTATTTTTTATCTTTATCTTTTTTCTTTGTAATAAAGGTGGTCAATTTCTTGTATGAGTATAGCTCATGTTTTGGTCTCCCCACCTCACTTGAATTTGTCTTTTTATCTTCAATTGGTGAAATAAATACTGAATATGAATAAGATAACTCTTTTACAAACATGTATAAGAGTTGAGTGGTTGGCAGAAAGGTATTGTTCCTGGTTCTTGAGCTAAAGACCCTGGTTCAAATCTGGCTAGCATCAGGATTTTAATCAGAGTCAGATTGCTTGGCTCCTCGAACAACCCTCACATTGAGAGTTAGGCCGGTTAAGGGCAATGTATGTATCCGTTATATGTTGTAGTAAATTCAAATGGCACTGTGGTTGCCACATGTCCGCTGGGCCCAGCCCAAATTCGCAATTTCAAATTAGAACGAAGATAAAAACATTGCCAGCTGACTTTCGGGAGAAAAAAGATAATACATTTAGCAAAATAATAATAATAATAAATAATAATTATAATATGAATTTATATAGCGCATTTTCAGAATGCTGTTCAATACGCTTTACATAAAAATTGATAAAATACAAAAAAAACAGGCAGCATTATACAATCAGATTACAAATTATTATATAGAGAAACTACAAAAATATACTTATAATTAATTACATTGTTAAAATAATTAAAATTGGAAAATTCAGTTAAAAATTAAATATTGTTAAAAACATGCAAACATCATGAATTTGTGGAAGACTGGTTGGTTTCCGAAAGGTTTTGCTGGCTCGTGGGAGTGTGTTGGAAAATATCCCGACTCTCGAGGGACACTAACGAGACTTGTAGGAAAATTGTGACTCCTGTGTACACATGTAGCCCCAAGGGTCTACATGTACATTCATGCTAACTGTTCTTTGTATGGTAGACTCAAGCCTATGGACAAAGGCTATGTTCACACCTGAGACACCCAGGCGTATCTAACGCCAGGCATACGTTAATCCATAGGATAACTACCAAGATGTCCAGATTGGGCAATTATCGAACGCTAGTGTAAGTATTCGTATTTGTAATCGTCCATTTAATTTCCTGTTTATTGTGATTGGTCCAATCCTGGCCGAGTTCAAAATCATTCATGCATGGCTGGCGTAATTCAGTGGAGTACGCTAATTAGGGGTCTTTTGGTGGATTATCGTACGCCAGTGATTGGGCGGTAATACTGGCGTTCGCTACGCCGCGCACAAGCTCACACCACTCGATTAATGTTACGCTAGCATATCTCGTTGTGTCTGAACATAGCCATAACAATTATTTTAGCTTACCTGTTGCGTAAGATCTCTCTCTGGTGACCCTTTGGCGAATTCCTTACATGGTTCATTTGCTACAGATATTGACTGTGATCTTGCAAATATTCTGCAAATCCAAAACAAAAAGAAAATGAGGAAAGAACCAGTTACAACAACAACAAAAAAGTGGAGCCTCAAATTTTTTGAATTCTTACATTTTCTATGAGTTTAATTTCAATTACCTATTACCTACTGTAACAATTAATAATTCTATTTTTGTAAGATTTTAGATATTATAGGTGATTTTAGACTTTGTGGAGCACCTTGATCATTTTGGAAAGGAGGCACTATATCAATTAAATTATTATTATTATTATTATTTTAAAGACAGTGGCTAGGAATATGCTACCATACACTATAGTAACAGTGTCCCTAGCTGCCACCCATCAGCGCCCCATTTCAGGACTTCCAGATATGCCACTGGCTGCCACTGTACAATAAAATAATATTGATACTGACACGTTATCAACATCATCAAAGATAACATCAGTCTGAATGATTTCTCTATGCTGAATGTAAGTAGGCCGAAAATTTCGAAAAAGAATTGCCCCAAAATTATCTCCTTGATTATAGAGGGCCATGGCTTCAATTCGACATGGGCTTCTTTTTGAGATTAATTTTGCAAACTAAATAGTGGGGAAGGGGGAAGCTTCTTTTCGACAAGATGGTTATCATGCATATTATGCCGAAGGGCATGGCACTAGATCTGTGGCACAGCATGACTTCAAACTCACTGTGTAGCCTACTTGTACTTCGGCTAAGGTAAGCCAGTGGCCGATTCAGAATTCAAAATAGAGGGGGGCCGGGGAGGTACTTCAGAGATGGAGAATCCCACCATGGTGTGGGTGTGTGTGTGTGTGTGTGTGTGTATATA